TTGCCGGACACGGAAAAAACAGACAAAAGACAAAAATAAAAAAATTAAAAAAAATAAAGAATTTTGGGGTTGGAATGGTAAGAATGGCAAGCTAGTACGGGGGAGAAAAACATGACTATTGAGGAAGTAGTGCTGGCACACTGGTTATCCACATTGTAAAAAGTAAAATTGGATCTCTAACTCATACCATATACAAAAGTAATCCCAGAGGGATTAAAGATTTAAATGTGAAAAGCGCAACTTAAGAAGGGTTAGGAGAAAATATAAGCAAGTATTTTGTAAGCTTAGGAATAGAAGGGAATTGTTTAAACAGAAACAAAGGACATGAACCATAAAAGAAAAGATAGAAAATTCTGACATTAAATCTCTGATTTAAATTTCACTTGGATAATTTTAAAAGGTAAAAACATAAGCTATGAACTGGGAGAAATTATCTGTAATGCATATAATTAATGGATTAGGAACCATAATATATGAAGATCTGTTATGAATTAATAAGAAAAAGAAATAATCCAATTTTTAAAAGTAGGCAAAAGCCACAAGCAGGCATTTTGCAGAAGAGAAAAAGAACTGTCAATAAACATATTTTTTAAATGCTTATTGTCATTATTAATCAGGGAAATAGACATTAAAACCACAAAGACATACCAGTCAGGAAATACTTAAATAGTCTGGGAACACCAAAGGCTCACTAGGATGTGAAGCAAAATTGTTAAGGGTACAGATTCCTGGGGGTCAAAGTCTGGTACTTCTACATACTAGCAGAATGCCTTGGGCAAGCAATTGAGCCTCTACAAGCCTCAATTTCCCCAAATGTAAAATGAGGGATAATATTAGTACATACTTTATTGGATTGCTGTGAGGATTAAATAAACTAATATATACGAAGGCTTAGAACAGTCAGTGCCTGACATAGTAAGTATAGAATAAAGTAAGCTCATTATTTATATTATTAATATCATCATCATCAACACTACTGGTGGGAACATGAAACGGTCCAGCCAGATAGGGAAAACCTTTTGGCATTACTGTGTAGTTTTAGGAGTGCATAATCCCTACAATGCAGCAATTCTACTGGCGTATTCCCTGGAGAAACTCTTATTTCAAGAGGAATCATGTAAAGGAAGAATGTTCATAGAAGCATCGTTTATAATGAAAATAGAACAAACGTCTATTTAGAGGAGAATAAATAAAGCTACATGCATCAACATGGACAAATCTCACAGATAAAATACTGGTGGGGGAAAAGTAACTCATGGAAGAATAAGGGGCCGGTCACATAAAGTTTAAAAACATGAAAGTGAAACAAGATACTGTTCACAGTTTTACTGAATATGTAAATATCCCGAAAGAAAAGCAAGAGACTGATACATGTAAAAATCACAATGGTTTTTACCATTAGGGGCAAGAGGAAGGACGAGCAATACCATTACCAAATGGTGTTGGTAAGGCTTCTTTTCACTTAATTACTTTTTTTGGCAGCTGGCCAGTACAGGGATCCAACCCTCGACCTTGGTGTTATAACACCGCGCTATAACCAACTGAGCTAACCGGCCAGCCCTCTTTTTTATACAAATGGTGGGTAAACAGGTTTTCGTGGTGTTACTCTTTAGCTTTTACCCAGATGTAATACCTATTATTTTGTGTATATAAAAAATGTAATAATAAAGAGTTTACATGTATGCACAAAAATCCAGGGGGGAAAACAGCAGTTATTTTTAAAATCAGCTGAAAAATACCTGTGGTAATATCCATCCCATACCTCTCAGAATTTACCATAAACAAGTACAAAGAGGAAATATAAATACATACTAGCATCTGCATAGCCATTTGCTTGGTGATGTTGAGCTGAAACTCTTGGAGCAATGCAGCCCAGGAAGACAGCACAGAGAGAAAGAATAAACCTTTGAGACCTACCCAAGTTTAAGGGCAGAGGGAAGAGAAATCAGCAAAGACAACTGCAAAGCTACCAGTTCACTCCTTCTGCCAACTTCCAGATCCCTTCCTCACACAAAGCTCTTCATCCTCACAGCTGTGTAGAAGATTTCTCACCTCCGTTTCTGCTAACTTCTCTCTTTGGCTCCAATCTCAGTCTCACTCTTCTTCAATTCACTCTCCACAATGCAACCAAAACACAAAAACTCCTTGTAAACTCAGTTCTGTCCACATCACTTTCTTCCTGAAAACTCTTCCACAGGTCTCCACTGGCCTAAGGATACAGTAGAGTCCAAACCGTGTACTCAAGGAGGCCTCCTATGATATATCTCCTGCTCACCTCACTTTGGCTCATCACTCCCCAGCTTATTCTCTGATTACAAAGGTTTAAAGCAGTGGTTCTCACATGTGGCCCTCGGACCAGCAACATTAGCATTACCCGGGAACTTATCAGAAATGCAGACTAGCCCAGACATACTAAATCAGAGTAAACTTGTGGGTGGGTCCAAGAACCTGAGTTTTAACAAGTCTTCTGGTTGATTTTGAAGCATATTAAAATTTGAGCATTGCTGGTTTATAGCATGAATGAGAGGTAAATTATAATTTGAAGAACTCTGATGGAGGAAATCGAAAAGTACTATAGCATCGTGTTAAAAAGCACATTCTCTGGGATCAGTCCACCAGGGTTCAAGTTTCTGCTCAGCTAATTCTTGGCCATGGGGAGCTTCCTTAGCTTGCCCCAGCATAGTGTAATGCTGGATAGCACGGATCCTCAGTAAGACGGCTGGGATTTAAATCCTGGCTCTAACTCTTATTAGCTGTGTGATCTTGAGCTTACTCTTACTTTCTCTGAGCTCCAGTTGGCTCATTTATAAAAGTATAAATATTAGTACCTACTTCATATGGTTGTTGTAAAAATTAAAGGAGTTAATGTATGTACTATACTAAAAACTGTACTTGATGCACAATAAGCATTATATGTTTTTTATTATTACTATAATTGTTACTAAGTTCATGGGGACCACATTATATTTTGGAGGGAGTCAACACTGAATGCTAATGCCCATTGAAAGTAAATAAAATACATTCCTTCTCATATGGAGAAACCTTCCTCACCTTTTTTTCGGTAAGTGACTTTTCCTCCAGTACTCCATTTATCTCTCTGAAAGAATTTATTTCCTTCCAATTAGAGAGCTCTTAACTGGATGCAATGACCTCTTCCAGTCAATGGATCTGCCTTTAAGGGGTCATTTATTTCAGATACATTAGTGCTTTCTGTAGCAAAGAACTCACAAGATTGAAAAGAGGTTACTGAACATTATCCCTATTCTAAGGAAACTATTTCTGGTGATTATTCTAAATACGCAACAGTATTAATTTCTTTTCTTTTTGGGGCAGCTGGCCAGTACAATGACCTGGAAATATAAGGCTGTGCTCTAACCAACTGAGTTAACTGGCCAGCCAATAAACTTCACTACAAATTCTACATGTAAAAGTGTCATCAAGACAACTTTCTGCCATCATTGAGAAACATGCTGAAAGTCATCATGACACAAAAATCTGAAGAGTAGGACTTTATATCTCTTTCTTCTCACTACTGAGAGGTCCTACTATGTCCCCCTGACCAACCACATGAATAACTGAGCCACAACACATTCAGTACAGAGTATATTCTATTGAACATAAACAAATGTAAAAAAACCATATTTTTGGGCCAGCCCGTGGCTCACTCGGGAGAGTGTGGTGCTGATAACACCAAGGCCACGGGTTCGGATCCCATATAGGGATGTCCGGTTAGCTCAATGGGTGAGCATGGTGCTGACAACACCAAGTCAAGGGTTAAGATCCCCTTACCGGTCATCTTTAAAAAAAAAAAAAAACATATTTTTTGAAGACATAATAAATATCTGTGAGGTAAAATTATGTACCGATATTTCCTTCATAGGTCCCAAATTATTTCATCTCACATTTTGCATACTTATGAAGTTAGAAGATATAAGACAGAGAGTTAGAATACAAAAGAAAATATGAGAAAAAATATTACACAGGGGCAAGTCACAAAACCAAAGTCAAAATATAAGGCTCATTACTGAGAGTTCACAAGGTTTCTTAGAACCATAGAGACAATATTCCAATTGAATCTGGCTTGGAAATTAGCTCAGTCATCAAATATTCACTGGGGATGCTGGAATCCTCTGCTCCACAGTCTCTAAACGAGGTAAATATGAATTGGGTGTAGAGTAGTCTTTATTTGTGATTCTCTTGATTTCTTTAGGTTTTAAAAATCAGTTTCCTTTGTAAAATCAAATTAAGAGAACGCAAAAACATTTTCATAAAAAAGAAAAAAGGATAAGCACTTAATGCCATGGAGGGTTTATGATTTTTATTAGCATGTGACAGCCATATGTTCCATGATTTTTTGTTTTTTGTTTTCCTGGAACCCTAAACCTCAAATATGAGGTGAGGTGAAAGAATTTTGGTAGAATCTTTTTTCATAGCTTTCTACTTCAAAATGGAGGTCACTGATTACAAAGAACATTCTATCAAATCTGGGTTTCAAGGCATCTCCTCAATGTAAGACATTTTATATTGGGGAGGAAAGAAAGGTTAAAAAATTAAGATTATTGAATTTTTAAAAGGCATCAGCGTGCTATGGAAAGCCAACCTGAAGAGCTCATGTTTCTGCCAACCTAATATTACACAATTTCAATGGCACAGAAAAGAAAAGTAACCAAGTAAGTTGTATTTTACAACTAAAAACCCACAATGGCAAAGAAAACTGCTGATCTTCTAATATTTTTAGAAAAGCATGCAGGATTCTTTATTTACAAGAAAATATAACAAGCTAACCTTGGATTGCCTGAAAAAAGAAAACATTAATTCCTTGGATTAAGACTTAACTCAAGATCCTCTAAAATAAGAAAAAAAAAAGTTTTCAACTATAAATCGTATAACATGAATAAAATACAGCTTTTCCTACTATATCTGTAAATATTAACTACACAAGTACTGATAAGGATTTTGAACCTGAGGAAGCCATCTAAGTAAACCATCAGAACATTTACCTGTACAGTCCTCTGAGTGCCATCAACGTTGACAGACAATAAGGACGAAGCCAGGTTCCACGTACTGGTCACATTTAGTTTCAATCCATCAACTTCCACCTGTTGTGACACCAAATAAGACTGTTACTATGAAGAAAGACAGAAAGCTGATCTCAAGTTCATTGCTGCATACAAAGCAGCAGCCATTTTAAACAGATGGCTCCCAAACAACCTGTCATGTTTACTGCTCCAGCCATGAAAGACAGGGTCCAACAACAGAGTCTTCTTAGTCATCTCTGGGGAGAGGTGAAGGACCTGTGAACAGCTGCCTCTGGGCACTAAGGTTTCAAGTGATTTCCAGTAAGTAACAAACAGCCTTCTAACTCTAAACCTATCTGGACATGCTACATTTACTGCAATTAGACAAGTAATGCATATAAATTCCAGTGACATTTTGCAACCCACACAACAGGGCTTGCATATAATATTCTCTCCAAGGACCAACAAAGAACTTTTTCTGTGGTAATTTTAATGAAGGACTATGCATTGTTATCTTAATTAAACAGAAGCTTTAATTAGGCAAAATTTTTTGGTGTTGAATATCAAAAGTCCATTCAAACTTTGCAATGTTCTGTCATATTTCTGTCGATCATAAATGACTAATTTCATCAAGTCATCACTCATGCAGATGCAAATAAAAACCCACAATCTTTCAAAACAGAGAAACTCTTAAGAGAAAAAAATTAATTTCCTAATAAATAATATAAAAGTAATTTAAAGAAAATAAGCTAATTTGAAATAAAAAGTACTATTAGTTCTTTCTTCTTTTCACTCACTAATGATTATTCCCTCACTCTTTAATACAAGCAGTAAGAAAACAAATAACATTATTATTTTAAGTCTACAGTAGACGGCCTAACAAAGGGATACTTAAATTTGTTGAAGTTTCTAAATAACAGAGTTTAGAGATAAGATCCCTAACAATTCCCCCACTATCATCAAATTCTCTTAAAAGACACTCATTAAGATCAGATATCAGAGTCCTCACTGTTTCCTTTCTGCTTGACCCTTGGGGACAGGTAGGGAGGTGGCAGTAGAGGAAGATTGGTGAAAATATTTGGACAAGTATCAGTACCCTAAAAGTAGCCGGGCTTGAAGTCTGCTTCTGGGACACAGCCTAGGAGAGGTTGGTAAAGCCCAGGACTAAGTGTCACCGCATTCCTAATGCAGTGAGGGGGCAACAGCACGGCACTCACAGAGGAAAAGGCTGGACATATGACCCGTGTACATCAAGGCAGGAATCCAAAAATTTCTACCTGTCCTAGTGAGATGACCAGTGAAGGTCTGGGTCAGGATGAAGACCACCATGACAGATAAACAGTAGAGACTATGGGCAGCAGAAGCCTCTTTAAGACCTCCAAAGCCCAAACAGCATGACTCATTACCCAACAGTTACCGCCCAGGCCTTTGCAGTAAGAACAGTGGGTAGCAGGAGAGTCTGAGTTCTCCTCCCTGCCTCAATCAGGAGGCACATTTGACCACCATTCCCAAAACACCTCTCACATGCACCCAAGGTTTCTTAGAACCATAGAGACAATATTCCAATTGAATCTGGCTTGGAAATCTTAGTGGAAGCTGGGGATAGGGGAAAAAACCTGAAATACTATAACCTGAAAGAGACTGTTTAAACCAAGAGAGGCCAAGATCTTGTTTACCCACAAGTTTTTCTACTCCCTGTCTCCTACGAAAGGTAGAGGGCTTATGAGGAACATTACATGTGACAGAAAATGAAGAAGCTACATTTCCTCATACACGTGATAAGTAATGAGTACAAATTTGTAACTTAACTGAAGCAAGGAAACTATCATAACTCCAAATCATAAATTATGAAACATATCTGCAAATATTAAATGAGGGAAAGCAATGTGCTTTAAGCCATCACATGCCTTCTCAGGCCTCCAGCACTAAACCCATTTCTCCAAGATACAAAATTCTGAAAAATAGATGCAATGACTCTATTGTTGCTATCATTAGATGAGTGAAAGCCAGATGTACACATAAGCCATAGGAGAGGAACAGAGTGTTTCTTTGAACAACCATTTTATACCATAGAAAGGTGGGACAGACTAAACTGAAGAATTCTGGTCACTATGCCATATATATTGTTTACACCCAATTCTTTAGCCAAGGATGACTGAAGAAGCAGCTATAGAGTGGAGGTACCATTTCATCTTTATGACATGGAGAAGCTGACATAAAGACCCACCCTAAGTTTTCAATGCCAACAACTAATGGGAAATGAGCCCTCGGGCAAAGGCAAAAATAACAGATTTTGTGAGAGATAACAAGGGTAACAAGCCCAAGGAAAAGCTGCGGGCTGCCCATGCCTACGCCCAACCTCCCACACTATTGTAACATAAACAATAATCAGAAAATAGCCAATACTAGATCTTTGCATACAATTTGGAAAAAAAATTGTAAAGGGAAAATGGTAAATTAAGAGAATATAACACAAGAAGAACTACTCAAAGAAACACAGGAAGAGTTCAGATAAATAATTCTCCAAAGTCTCAAAGGCAACTATAGGAAATGTGACCTCTCTTTTAAAAAAAAAACAGCTCAAAGAAGAAAAACAAAGGTTCAAAGAAGAGATTATACAACAACAGAAGGAAATGAAAATCGAGCTGGTAGAACTCAAAAAAACTGAAGAGAAAAATAACATTATAGAGATAAAAGCCACATTAAGAAACAACCAAAAACAGAATAAATGTGACTAAAGATAAGGACTTGGAGAAATCATATAAAACAAAATAGGTAAGACCAACAATATAAAACCAATTTACAAGGAAGACAATAGATATGAAGGAGGAAAAAAAGAGGATACAAAGACTATACAACTGTCTTTTTCAAAAGGCCTATAAAGCAAAAAGAATAAATGTAAATTCAAAATTATGATAGGACAAACCTTTTCAAAACAAATAAATAAAACTTTGAATTTCTAGGTCATTGTTTATAGAACTTGAAAGCTAAAGAAAGATTTATGTGGGTATTTAGGCAGAAATAAAAAATCATGTACAAGAAAGGAAAAAACTCAGGTCAGCCTAATTTCCCAAGAGCAACACTGACACAGAACACCACAGAGCAATATGGTCCAAGTACTAAAAAAGGTAAATGTTGCCCCCCAATTTTATACCCAGCCAAGGTTTCCTTAAAGTATTTCATATAAGTATACATTCTGTAGCATGTACAAATGTAGTGCACCTTCTTTAAAAATGAGGCAACTCTATACATACTGATATGAAATTATTCCCAAGAAAACGCAAAATAGTGTGTACAGTATGCTATCATCTGTTAAGAAAAAAACAATTATATACATATTTTTTAATGCACAAAATATCTCTGGACAAATGCATTAAGAGGAGCAGAGTGCTTAAGGAACAGGAATGGAAGGGAGGCTTGCTTTTCACTGTAAATCTACTTGCACTTTTTAAATTTTTTCCTGTATATGTTTATAAAATATATTCAAAAATTTTTTAAATGGGGAAAAGTGTAAGTGTGCTCATTTCCTCTTTTATTATAGTATGCAATCAATAGCTACTTCAGATCTTTCACTAGAAGGCACACAATTTAAAAGTAGCTGTTTTTTCAAATTGCATTTTGGTTATAGATTTTTCTGGTTATAGATGTACTGATTTCATCAACAACATCCAATTTTACAATGTGTTTCAGACAATCTGTCTTCCTCCTCTAAAAAAGAGGGACTTGAACCTGCAATGCCAAAGATTTCTCCTGGGTCTGAAATTCTGGTTCTGTGGTTGCAAAATCCTTTTATTTCAGATGTATTTAGATAATTAATTTCTGAGATGGCAATTTCAAGTATTATAAATGGATTTTTGCTTTGTTCAAGCACCTTTGTTTTGGGGTTAGACGTTTTTAAGATCTTTCTTTTAACAGACAATAAAAGCTTACAAATTAAGTCAAATTCAGTGTGGGGATAAAAAGAAAAATAGACCAACAGAGAAGTGACAAATGACATAATATCCTGGGGCTCAAATAAAATCTCACACCTTTCAAGGCCAACAAAATTATCAAAATGTCACTGTGAAAACACTAGAATATTTTAAATAATGTAAAAACTCTATATTTTATGAACAATCCGAAGACACAATGCCCCTATTTAGAAACAGAAACTAACCTAAACAGAAAGATTTATATTATGACCTTAGTTTAAATAAATCTAGGACTCAAGTGCACCAAATTTACATTAATTATATTAATACTGACCCACACTCTTGGCAGTGACCCCCTCTCTTTCTTTACCGAAAATGAAGCCATAGACATAGTCCTTATTTTCTTGCACCATCAAACACATTTTTTCCTTTACTCATATTTCATAACTTCTCTGCTTCTTAATTTATCCCTTTTAGTGTCAGTATTTTCCATCTCTCAGTCTACACTGGCTACTTCCTTTTGCTTTCAAGCATGTATAGAACTCCCTACCCATGTCTCTGACAGGTTCTACGAGTGCTCTGTACCTGTTTTTTTTACCACATACCTTCCCCCATAACCTTCTATAATCTGGCTACTAAAACTGTATCTGAAAGGTCACCAATCTTCCTCAGCAACTTTGACACTCTGTTCTTAATCCTCATTATTCTTTACTTCCCAACAGGAAGGAAGGCCTCTTTGAGAAGCCGAACTTTAAACTAAATTGAAAAGGTGAGTAGGAATTAGTTGAGTGGGCTGTTAGGTGGGTGGTTAGGAACATTCCAGAAGGAATATCACTTTAAAAAAAAAAAAAAAAAGGAATTTCTGAGGCAAGAAATAGCTTAGCTGATTTGCAACCAGTGTGCCTGGAACACGGAAAACAGGGGGGATAAGGGTGCCCGAAGACTATGGAGAGCAGTAAGAAACACTGACAGGTCCCACTGGAGAGGGACATTATCCACGTTATATGTTGAGAAGATCATCTGGCTACAGCTTGGAGAATAAATTGTATGAGACAAAAATAAAAACGATGGTGGTCAGGTCTAGGGTACTAGTAGCGTAGAGAAGAGGGCACTCAGAAGGAATATCAATTGGGGAAAGGAGGAGGGAAGAGTGAAGGGTCCGGTGAAAGC